ATTTCTTTGTCCTGTCACTTACTCTCAAATTTATTGCTTCTTTGTCTAAAAAGTCTAAAAGCTGCCTGCTTTGGCCACTTCTTAAGTCCTTTCTAAGAGACTCATGAATTAAGTTTCTGTCTTTGTCTCCTGTTAATCTGCCCTGTGTCAATGTTATTAGTCCAGCCACAAGAACTCAAGGTGGGTACAAGGGGAAAGTTTTCCCTCCCAGACATCTCCAACACAAAGTTGAGTAGAGGTGGAATGACAGGCCTCCTCTTCTTTTCTCTGAGCTAAGTCATTAAATATGAGGTTTGCCTGGAATTTTGGTAGATAACTTTTTTAACATTAAGGAAGTTTCTTCTCTTTTTAGTTTGCTAAGAGTTTTTTTGGGGGGATGGATTTGTTTTTTTGTGTGTGTGGTTTTTTTTCCCAATATAAATAAGCATTGAGTTCTATCTATGTATTTTTCCATCGATTATCATGATCATTTGTTTTGTCAACCAAAGAGGAAAAAAAGCCACAGAAGCTTGCAATTAAGAAAAGAGTTTATCTGGGGTCTTAAGAATTATAATTCAGGAGGCACAGATTCAGGTAAAACCAAAAGCGTGTTCCAGGGAACAGAAAGAGGCAGAAGCTTATAAAGCAAAAGCCATGAGGCTGTGCTCTGACACAAGAAAGAAGATATTTGTCCTTAAGTGACGGCTGTCATTAGGGTGAGGGTCAGATTAGCATCTGGAGTTTCCAGCAGATGCCTTCATTGGGACCTTAACTGGCCAAAAGGTCAGATTCCATTCAGGTTGGGCCCATATAAGCTCCCGCAGTGGCCCCCAGCTCCATTTCAGAGCTTCTTAGCAATACTGACTCCATTTTGATTTTCCTTCCACAGTTTTTTCCCGGATTAATCTGTTACTGTGGTAAATTATACTAATCCAGTGTTCAATTTTAAGTAAAGCTAATACTACGTCTAATTTCAAAGTCAATTGTACTATTGTTTTATCTGTCTATTCATATTTCCACCCCTGTAAGCAACCATTTTCTTTGATAATATGCCTCCATATGTATGGAAAAAATGATTACTGTGCTGGTTATTTCCATTTTAGACGATTACTGATTTCTTTTTAAAAAAATTTTTATTGGAGTATAGTTGATTTACAATGTTGTGTTAGTTTCAGGTGTACGACAAAGTGAATCAGTTATACATATAAATATATTCACTCTTTTTTTTAAGATTCTTTCCCATATAGGTCATTGCAGAGTATTGAGTAGAATTCCCTGTGCTGTACAGTAGGTTCTTATTAGTTATCTAGTTTATACATGGTAGTGTGTATATGTCAATCCCAATCTCCCAATTTATCCCTTCCCCCGCTGATTTCTTACTACTGAACATTGGGACTAGCTTTTTATACCCCCCACCTGACACACAACCTTCTCTCCCCAGTAGAGTTTTGGGATTTTTAGGGGTCAAATCAGTATTCTCCTTTATTAAGATCATAAACATTGTCCATAGGTGAGGTAAATGGGGTTCTGCGACTACATTCTCTTTCTTGTTTTTGTTGGAATTAACAGCTGACTGATGTTTTCCATGAACCTGTGGCCATGTCATCCCCAACTTTTAATTTTTTTCTTTTTAATAAATGTATTTAATTAATTAATTTTTATTTTTGGCTGCGTTGGGTCTTTGTTGCTGTGCGTGGGCTTTCTCTGGTTGCGGCAAATGGGGGTTAGTCTTCGTTGTGGTATGCGGGCTTCTCATTGCAGTGGCTTCTCTTGTTGTGGAGCACAGGCTCTAGGCGCCCGGGCTTCAGTAGTTGTGGCACGTGGGCTCAGTAGTTGTGGCTTGCAGGCTCTAGAGCACAGTCTAAGTAGTTGCGGCGCACGGGCTTAGTTGCTCCGTGGCATGTGGGATCTTCCCAAACCAGGGCTCGAACCCGTGTCCCCTGCATTGGCAGGTGGATTCTTAACCACTGTGCCACCAGGGAAGCCCCACCCCCAACTTTTGACAGAAGTGAAAACATTCTCTCCATGTGTTCAAATGTTCCAAGTAATCCAGGATTTCTTTTCATACAGACCTCCTTCTTGAGCTCTCATCCCTCCTGACATGGGCTCTGTGGGGGTCTCTGCACAGTTAATATCCAGGGACCTCGCTCTGCTCTGCTCAGGTCCCTGCATGCAGCTCTACACTGTGTCCCAAGATCTTGGTGTGTGGCAAGTGGGGCTGAAATCCCACTGAGCACACTAGCCAGTCACAGATGTCTATAGCAACTTTATTCATAGTTGTCAAAACTTGGAAGAACCCAAGAAGTCCTTCAGTAGGTGAATGGATAAACTGTGATCCATCCAAACAGTGGAATATTATTCAGCACTAAAAGGAAATGAGCTATCAAACCACAAAGAGACATGGAGGAAACTTAAATGCATGTGACTGAGTGAAAAAGGCCAACCTGGGAAAGTTACAGACTGTATGATTCCAGCCATGGAGACAATAAAAAGAGCAGGGTCTCCAGGGAGGGTGTGGAGCACGAGGGATTCTTAGCGCAGTGAAATTATTTTATATGATGATATACCGGTAGATATATGTCATTATACATTTCTCAGAACCAGTAGATATATAAGACAAAGAGTGAACACTAATGCCAACTATGGACTTTAGCTAATAATAATGTATCAATATTGGCTCATCAATTGTAACAAGTGTACCACACTAACGCACAATGTTAATAATAGAGCAAACTGTGTGTGTGTGCAGAGAGGAGACTGTAACATGAGAACTCTCTGTACTTTCCACTGAATTTTTCCATACAACAAAAACTATTCTAAAAGATAGTCTGTTAATTTAATATAAAGACAATGGTGAAGATAAAATGGAACACTAAAAAGTATTAAATTAACCCAAAGAAGACAAGAAAGGAGACACAGAAGAATGACAACAATGACCAAAAATGAAACAAAGAGAAAAATAGCAGCTCTAAATCCAATTGTATCAATAATTACATTAAATGTAAATGGACAAAATATTTCAATTACAAGGCAGAGATTGTCAGACTGGATAAAAAATCAGGATGCAAATTTTGAGCTTAAAAGAGCCACTTTAAACAGAGTCACAGTAGGCTGAAATTAAAAGGATGGAAAAAGATATATGCAAACAGTAATCATAAGAAAGTTGGAGTGGCAGTATTAATATCAGACAAAATAGAATTTAAGACAAGGAGTATTACTGGAGATAAATAGGGATATTTCATGATGATACAAAGTAGATATATAAGGAAAATATAACAGTGTATATGTGTCTAATAACACTTTTAAAATATATAAAGAAAATCTAACAGATCTAAGAAACACATAAATCCACAATCATAGGTGTGTTTTTCTTCATTGTTTGAAGTATTTACAATTAAAAAATGACAAAAAATACTACTTTTCCTTAAAAAGGTGGGGTGGGGCAGGCCCTAGGAAGGTAAAGGAGGAGGGGGAAGAGGGCAGCAAAAAGAGAAATAAGAAGGTTCAAGGTCAAGAAAACAGTGCAGGAAATCACAGCTCCATAAACCGTACCACACACGACTGGGCACTGCCTTGTGTGAAGAAGGAGCTGGTGCAGTCTGCAGCATCTGCTGAGGTGAGGGCAGGGTGGCACAGGCCAGCACCAGGAGCTTGGGTTTTGTTCTAAATGAATGAGATGAGCCCTAGAAGGGTTTTGACCAGGGCACTGTTGCCTGATTTTTACTTTCAAAGATGACCGTGGCCTGCTCTATTCAGAACCCAGGCGAGAGACGCCTGTGACTGAGGCCAGGTGACGGGGTGCATTGATGGGTGGCATATGCCACTGAGGGGGGTGTGATGGGCACCTGGGGTGGGGGAGTGCTGCCATTTCCGACACAGGGCCAGGAGGCGAGGTCTGCAGCCTTCTCCTCTCACACCAGGTCGGGGGTGACCCTGAGCGTTCTCACACACTGCCTGCATCCCCAGGTTGCTCCTCCTCCGCATTCCCGCTGTGTGGCTGCTCTGCCCTCCGCTGGCCACTAAGCCCAGAGGGCCACTGACCCTGGACCAGCTCTCTTGCACTTAACTCTTCATCCCACGTCCTTCACCACAGCAGAGCCTCATAGTGTCTGCTCAGACTGTCCACACATTCACTAGCTTTGTGGCCCCAAACAGAATTTTCGGCCTCTACACCTGTTTTTCATCTGTGGTTAGTTCTGGTAATAATAGTCCAGGATGGTGGGAAGGCCATAGGCAAAGGGCCTTGCAGACAGGGCATTGCCTGCTTTCCTCAGCGGCTCCCCCTGGGGCACGTGCCCCTCTAGTACTCTGGTCAGTCCCCCTTTGTCCTGGCTTTGTGGCACTCTTGCAGCAGCAGCTGGCCAGCCCGCTCCATTCCCTCCCTGTTTGCACATCTCCCTCAGCTCCTTCCTGCTGCGGGGCTGTGCTGACCTAGGTGTAGCTCGTCCTCGCTTTGTTCAGGGCTCTGCTCAAAGTTGCTTCTTCAGAATAGCTGATTGTGAACACCCTCTCTAAAAACAGCATTTTGGCCACTCTTTACACACTTCCCCTCTTTATTATTTTCTTCTCAGCAGGGAACAATGGATCTGAGTTTTATCTGCCTTCTTCCATTAGAATGTCAGCTCCATGAGGGCAGGGTTCTGCCTGTTTTGTTCACTAAGGTTCCCCAGAGCCCAGGATGTGCTGGCACCCAGGAAGCAAATACTTGTTCAGGGGCTGAAATCAGGCTCTAATTCCTAGTACCTCAGCAAGAACGATCAGAGGTTCATTCTTTCGAATAAACTCTACAGGCTGCCTGTGATGGGCACCAAGCACATTAAGAGCAACAGTGGGTCAAACTGCTATGCCCGTGGTCACGGTGCACCTCACCGCCGTAGCTCAGCACAGGGGCACCAGGTCCCTTAGGACATGCTGGCAGAAGCGGACCGATCCCTCACGGAAAAGATCCATTCAGGGAGCAAGACAGATCAATGGATTTTAATGAAGCAGAGCATGAAAGTTCAATGATATGGCTTCAGATTCCACAATGCAACTGATCTGTTCTTTTTTAAAATAACTTTTATTTTGAAAAGTTTAAATCTCACAAGTTATAAAAATATTACTGAGAGTCCCACGTACAATTCACCCAGCTTTCCCCAACAACAGTACCTAACATGGCCACAGTCCTTGTCAAACCTGGCAGCGGACATGGGTGCCAGTCTGTTCACTCAGGTGAGACCTGAGTAGGTCTTCACCTGTTTTACACACGCTCATTTCTTCTTTCTCCAACTAATCTTTAAGAAACTATCACAGGTCCAATTTTATTGCAGTATCAAGAAAGAACATCCATGATGATCAGAAAAGGGTATTAAAGTGCTCTTCCCTTTTCCAATGACATATCTGTGCGACTGCTCCAACCACACACACACACACACAACAGACAGATGCAGAATCCAACCACCTTCAATTAAGTCAGACATTAGATTCACAAAAATGTAAAGCAATGCCACTCTCCTCGCTCAATATTTTTGTTTTGGAAAAAATATTTTTCTTTAAAATGTTGTATTAACACACAATGGGTTTATAACCTTATTTTCAAATGAATACATATTTTTGAATGCCTTAGTTTTAATTTTAAATGCCATAAATGCTGACAGACGTAGCCCACATAAACCCAAGCAGCTGGGGACCCCGGTAGTTCCTGAGCTCTGCGAGGGGACCCCGGCAGCAGATGAGCCCCGTCCCACAGAGCCCCCAGGCCCTCCGAGGCTCCCGTGCACTGTGACAAACCTGGAAACTTTTTATTCTTCAGTTCAAACAGATATATTTGGGTAACTTATCCAGAGGAAATTAAAAGTTCAGAAGTTTCTGGAGTGATTGTCAACAGGGGAATACAATTCGTATCCAAACTAAGTATTTCAAAATGACCTTTTAAAACCACTTACTATTTAACCTAAATTCAAGTACAGTAGTCAAAGAAATGGAAACTGTTACCAACCTTATAGAATTCACACCTTGTTTTTTTAAGAATGATCTTGCATTTAAACAGATTTCTTTCATTATGCAAATCCATGAAGTAAACAGTAAAGTTTAAAAAATATATTCTCTCTAATAACTTAGTCTAAGACTTTGTGTTGGTTTGGTCCATGGCTGTGAAGAATACACAGACAGCAGCTGTGATGAGTAGATGCATTCCCTCATAGAGAAGTTTTGGAGAAAACACACTCCATATAAATAAATGATAACGCAGGGATGTCACAAAAATGATATATGCAGAAACTGGAACAGAACAAATCAGTGCGTAGCAGAAGCAAGCATGACTCAGCGCCGAACCGCTGTTAATAAAAAGTGAAACATGCGTTAGTACACGCCACTTCTGGATCATGTGAGGCATGAACACACACACATAATCGATATTTGTACTTTGACTACAGTAATTCCTGTTCCTGGGACTTAGTCTGGTGGGCACTGTGGTGCTCGAGGAGAGGACAGCTGCAGACGGGCACCTCCAGTCACTTAGGGCCACCACAATCTGCAAAATAGTTTTGAAAAATGCACCCCCAAATTCTACAGTTATTTATTTTAAAATTATACACGTTATAACATATAAACAATGAAAAGAAAATCACGCAAGGATGAGATACGCGTGGTGTCCAGGGGGGTGTCTGGTCTGTCTGGTCTGGTCTGGGGACGTTGGCTCACTCCTGAAATAAGAACAGTCCCCCTCAAGGCACATGCATGCACTGTCTTTGTTTCCAAGCCATCCCCACACATTACATAAATCTAGCCTGTTCTTCAAGGCACCTTCTGGGGCCTGTGACCATTTCGGGATGACAAATTCCACCACCCAGGCACCTTTCACTCCTCGTCAACCCACAGATCCTCGGGGGCCAGGCTTTCCAGATTCCGGTCCTGGTGCCTCTCCTCACACCCCGCACGGAGTCTCCAGGTGGCCTGTCCGCGGTCATCCGCGACATGCATCGCTGCTGCTAACCCCTCCTGGCGCAGGGGCTCCGCCACGCATGCAGGTGTCCTTGCCTGGCCCTAACTGGCTCCCCACTGGGGCTTCAGTGCCCGTCCTTCCTGCTGGGCTCTCCAGCTGCCCGTCACCCTCAGTAGGCAGCGCGCTCTGCTTCCTTCTCCTTGATGCATCACGCAGCCTCGACTCCCCCCTGCAGGTCCTCTTCTGGGATGCCGTCCTGACCCCTCACAGCAGCGCTGTGACTGGCTCATTTTGCCGCTGCCCCACCAGACCACGCGCTCCTGGAGTGACTCCTCACGCCCACGCCTTGGGTCCCACTTGGGATCCAGTCCATCCCGCAGGGGATCCCTGGAGAGCTGGGCCCCGAAGCATCGCCTCCTCCCTCCCCAGGGCCTTTCCCCCAACACCCAGCAAAGGGCACCCTAGGGAAAGGCCTAGTGGATGACGGGCCTCAGCGCGGGCTCTGCTGCCCCCTCCTGGGGCATCAGGGCGTCTGTGCTCAGCTGGGAGCCTGCTGACCCCACTCCCCTCTCGACCAGACACTGAGGGAGGGCAGCTCAGGACACTCACTTCCTTGTGTTTCGATTTCACACACTAGGAAGACACTGACTGGGGTCCCTTCCAGAGCGACAGCCAGTGGGGTGACAGTTCCCGTAACCTCAACAAATGACAATTTGCGACCTAGGGGATGAATGAAGGACCTGCAGCTTGGACCGCTCGGCTGTCCCCGCTGCCGAGCTCCAGACCGGAGGCCAGCTCCCAAAGCAGAGGGGCACGGGCCATCCAGTGCCCAAATTTTAAGCCATTAGAAATATGTTTTCTTTTTCTACCACTTTAATCTGGTTATAGTCTTCTTATTTTACTAGAAAAAGTAGAAACAATGAGTGAAACTTGAGTGAAAATGAAGAAAAGCCTTTTCTAAAATAAAGGAGAAACATTCCTTAATTAGGGGAACATCATACAGCACTCTCCAACTGATTAAAACGCTTCAACTCACTTTAGAAAATGCTTTCATCTGCCCTTTTTTCTCCCCAGTACAAGTGCAATAGATGAGAAGTGCCAGGAAAATCAAGTTGTGAATTTAGCACCAGGAAGCTGCTCTTCACAGAAGCCCAGGCTCTCACCGTCTGGCCCTCAGCCGCCTGGGTCCCCCTGCCCAGCAGACCTGGGGTCTGCAGACGCGGTACACGCAGAGAGCCGTGCTCCAGGGCAGGCAGCCCTCTGGGGCAGCGGTGAGCGCACCTCACCGGCTCACGGCCCCTTGATCCCCGACATGCAAAGACACCTGTCGGTCAGTTTGGGCCTCTCGACCCCACCAAACCCACCCCCTGGGGCATCTAGGAATCCGCTAATGAAAGAACCCCCAGCTCGGCGGCGATCCTGCGCTGACGTGGGCTCACGTCCAGCACGAAAGCCTGGAAGGGCGTCCTGGGGCCCCCCACAGCGACCCCACATCCGTCCCCTCCCGCCAGAGGCGCTCGGCTCACGGGAGACCAGATAGGCAGCGGCTGGTCAGAGGGGAGTCTGCCCACAGACACCCCAGAGGCCACACGCAGGCACTCCTCTCGTCCTCAGGAAGCCTGTGGCTGGGGAAAGAGAGCCTCTCGCTGGGGAAGCCAAGGCTCAGCCATGGCACTTTGGAGAGCAGGTGGAGCCCACCGGGAGCCGCGGCCTCAGAGCAGAAGCCCACCCTCCTCAGGGGGAGCTGTCCCTTGTTTTCTTGCTCCAAAATCTGACGCTCACCTTCGCCCCATCCACCGATGTGGACGTGAGCTTGGTGCAGAGGCAGAGGGTCCCGGAGGCCTGTGTCTCAGGAGCTGGTCTGGGGGTGACACGTGGGACTGAGAAGAACCCATGAAGGGGGCTGAGGAAGCGGGGGCGGGTTCAGTGTGGGGTCAGACGTCACCACGGTGAGGCCTGTGCTGTTAACTCGGGCGGGGAGGTGCGGGCCCCGAGGGGGGCGGGGGCAGAAAGCTCGCCCTCCCCTCAGCTGCAAAGTGTCCTCCTGGGGCCTCCCTGACCCGCTTGACCCCCCGGGGTGCGGAGGGGAGCGTGTTACAAGTTCAGAGGCACTAAGGGAGCCTCACACCCCACGGCACCTCACATGGGCCTACAACCCATGGCGGCAACACCATCGCCCGTTTTACAGACCGGGGAGCCAGGGCCCGTGTGGGAAGCGCAGAATCAGGCATCCACACACCACCTGGGCTGCATTCTGCCAGGTCGGCCCGGGCACCGAGGTCACTGTGTGGGTAGAAGCTGGAGGCCCCTTCCTCACGAAGCCCCCTTTCTGAGGGGAGCGGGTATAAACAAGGAAGGAAGCACTGCATGCGAGGGGCGGGGAATGCTGTGGAGTAAACAGGCAGGGGAGGGGTGGACGGATGGACGTGCTGGGCAGGACAGAGCAGTGGGCTGCCCCGTCAGTCTGCTGGGAAAGGAGCCTTTGGGGCTGGTGACCATTGGACTCCGTGGGGGCAGGACAGGGCAACACGGAGTCGCACCCCCATGGCCAGCCCCTCAGGACTGTCCAGGCTCCTGTCTCCCTCCAGCAGGGATCCTGGAAGTTAGAAGCAGCATCTCCTGTTCTCTTGTTCCAAAGGGAACACCCCCTCCCCACCGCCATCCCCCCTGCCATCCCCCCCGCCATCCCCCCTGCCCCATGCTCCAACCAGGTCACCAGCAAGCAGGGAAAATGAAAAGAGACCTTCCTTCTTGTCCCTCTGGAGACACACCTTGGTATGAGCTGGAAAAAGCCAGCAGGGGTGTCTGAGCCGCCCCAACACAGGCCAGCCCTGCCACGCACTGTGGACTGTTCAAGGTCAAGGAAACGGATGAAAATCGAGACCTTTAAGCCCTTGGGGTTCAGGCACCCTGTCTCTGCAACACGAGTTAATCTGCCATCAGATTAAAGACGAAGGAGCCTCACCTGCTGGCTTCTGAGGTCAGGAAGTTTACCAGGTGGCTGGCCCACAGCACAGGCCCCGTGTATGTCGCAAACGTCGTCAGGAGCATGGCTGGGATCTCCACATAGGCGTCCAGGCCCACGAAGCCTGCTGAGATGTCCACGGTGGCGATGCTGTTGGAGTTTCCCTGGACACGGGGAGAAACAGGCTGAGCCGGCTGGTCTCATACCATGGCCACTAGCAACTGTGAGAGCCGGTCACGGTGACCTGGACACACAGGCGCCCCAGCTGCCCGTTCACTCCTGGTTCCGGGGCTGACCCTAGATGCTGTCCCTCCACCTGCCCGCCTCACGCCCAGGCAGGAGGAGCAAGTGGAATGTCTTTTACCTTCGAGAGACTACACAAATGTAAGTCTGATGATGAACTATGGAAAATTCCAAACTTCCCCAGATCTATGTACTTCAGACAGACACACCGACCTCCCTCCTCAGGGACCCAGCCTGAGGGCTGCACGTGGCACGGGGGAGCTGAGGGCGGTGTTGCCACGCGGCTCGCTCGAGGGTGGACGCCGCTGTTAGGTAGCAGAGGGAGGGCGGGCTGGCTGCCTGGCGTACGGCTCAGGTGTCAGATGCAAGATCTAGGCCAGTAACAGGACAGCTCGCCCCACGCAGGGAGGGTGGGGTTTTGAATCCCAGGGAAGGGTCTCACGAGGTTCAGTCCCTCTCCACTCTCAGTCTTTGTTGACGCTGGGGGCCTTTCCTGAGACACTCATGATGTTTACGGGTCTGACGGCACAAATGTCTGTCCCAGCCCAGCAAAGGCCCCTCCCGGGAGCTCCTGACCCGATGGCCTGGGACACAAGTCCGGCTGGGTGAAGCCCACCGCCTTCTCCCTCAGCCGTGTGGCACTCCAGGCAGTCACTGGGTTGTGGTGTAGACCCCAAACATCTCAGAGCCGTGCTCTTCCCTCAACAATAACCTCCTTCGTGCAGCTTCCCCCTTGACCCCCTGCTCTGCCCACGTCCGCCTGGGCTTTCCCCCAACTGCACGACTCCCTCCCTGGAGAAGGAGGAGACCCTAGAGCTGCTGAGAGGAGCAGGGGAGGGAGAACAAGAGTCCCAAACGCCACGCTGAGGGGAGGTGGGCCGAAGATGGAAAAGCGGGTCCCACACCAGGCAGGTCGCTGGAGGTCCCGCTGAAGCCGATTCAGCCGTCAGAGAGGGTCGACCTAAGGCGCGGCCTGCATGCTCTGGGGCTTTCCTTGCGTTAACTCACTAGATCCTCAACAGTCCTGACACCGTGCAGGTGGGGAACCGAGGCAGGGAGAGACCCAGGGGCCCGCGGAGAGCTGTGGATGCCAGCTGGGCACCATGCTCCTGACCCCATACCACGAGGAGCTGGTGAGCTGAAGGCCGGAAGAAGGAGCGGAGAGCCTGTGATTCTCCTGCCAGGAAACCCGACAGTGAGAAAAGGGAGACGCCCGAGGGAAGGGCTGTGGGAGGGGAGATGAGGACGGCCCCAGGGGCGCTCTGCTCCCAAGGCCGCACAACTGCTGCTCGTCTGACCTGCTGTGGGGCCCGCCGTGCAAGGGCCGACCTGCGCTGGTCTGCTCCTGAGGGCCTCTAGCACGTTTGATGGCGCCACCGCAGGGACGCCCGGGGCCGTTGGACTCGTGCACTCTGGCTGCCCACGGGCAGCGCCTGAGATGTGCCAGCATCACACGCCGTCACGGAAGCTTCGTGCTCACCCCCGAGGGACGAGGCCACATGCCCCCCAGAGGAGCACACCGAACGTCAGAGTCTGCCTCCCCGCTCGGGAGTCACCTGTGGTCAGTCTTCCTGACACTGAGGCCTCAGTGCTGAGCCAGGCTGCCTGAGCAGTAGCCGCCTTCTCCGTCTGGGTTCAGAGGGAGACTGTGGGCACCTGCCTGATCAGGCCAGCAGGGTCTGCTGTGCCCCCAGGACGCACCTGCAGCTTGCAGACTGTGTGGGCGCTGCTGGGAGGTCTCCCACGCAGAGCTGTGGGGCTGTGCGCCCCCAGGCAGGGGTGTCCTGCGTTCTTCAGACAGGCCCACGGTTCAGCTGGGCCCTGGGGAGCCTGGAGAAGGCAGAGGGACGAGGCGATCTTCCAATGTGACAGCGTTCCCATTCCCCACCAAGCCACTTGTGCTCAGAGACAGAGTGACCATCATTAACTGACCTCCAGACGAGAGGCAACCCCCAGGAACAGGCCTGCAAGTGATGTCCAGATGAAGAGAGGAAACAGTCTGACATGGGCCATCTGGACATTTCTTGAAATGTGCAGTGAAACCTACAGTCCTTCCGAGGCTACACATGAGCTACGCCAACCGGCCGGCAGGACAGCTCTGACGCAGGTGCGCCCGGAAGAGGCACTCGGCCGCTCTCCTCCCTCCTCCCTTGGGGCCCACGTTCACGCTGGTCCCTTCGCTGTCTTCCCACTCCCGGCTGGTACTCTGCAATTCTGGAAATGCAAGCTCTGCATTTCCCCACATCCATGACGCCTGTGACCTTCTGAGAGGTACGAACAGCTGTGTCCTCGGTGGTAAAACAGCATGAGGCACACACAAGGAACAGAATCCATGGTCCGGTGCTCGGCTGTCAGAGATGGCACCTTCCCGCGACGGGCGGCTCAGGCGCCAGGGACGTGTGGGCCACGCCCTGGGTCCGCAAGGACCCCAGCTGTGGCGTCGCTGCGAGGTCCTGGTGACAACGGTAGGCACTGAAAGTGGGGGTCCTTGGGGCGAGGCTACAGCTGGAGTGAAAGGGAGATGGAAGCAAAGTGGGGCTGGAGGATTGGGGAGGCACAGACATGGGGAGGGTCAGGTCACATCCCTCCAGGACTTACAGATTTCTAGTACTTTACCCCTGCCCACTTCTGGGCTTCAGGAAACAAAAGGAAAAGCCATGCAACTGCGGTGAGGCTGGAAGCAGCCGGAAACCAGGAGACGAGGAAGAGGCCCCAGGCCAAGCTGCCGGGACACAGGGCACCAGGCAAGCTCCAGGGTCTGGACAGAGGAGAGAGGAAATGCAGATCCTCACTGTACAGACGGGAAAACACACTCAGACGTTCAGTCGCTTTGCAAAGTTCCTTGGCCGGACAGCGCGGAGCGAGATGGGGACTCCGGCGACTGCGCTCCACCCTCAGGGGTGATGCGTGCGGTACAGGTCGAGGGCGGGGCCCCCTGACCCAGGGCAGCGATGCGGGAAGGCTGGGGTGGAACTCGGTCCCTCCAAGGCCGGGAGCTGGATGCTCTGTTCACCTGTCCAGGTACTTCCCAAGTACACAGCTGCACACTGAGGTCTACCCTGGGGGCGGCTGGACTTGCCTTTACGGGCCCTTCAACACAGGAGAGAAGACGTGACAACCACGGGGCCCAAGAGATTAATAACCAAGTGGGGAGCCCCAGAAATGCCCAGTGCTGACAGCCAGGGGAGCAGGTGAGAGCAGTCATCATCCACATCTGATAAAGCCACGGGAACATGATGCGCTGCCCTGACCGCCCGCTGAAAGCAGATCCAGCGCAGCCACTATACACCGCCACCGAGGATGTCCGTCTTAAATAACTAAATGTACTTTATGCTATGCGTGCAATTTAAGCATGACTCACCACGCCGTACTGACAGCTCTTCCACTAAACATACAGTATAACTTCCTAGCTTATGGTAAAATTTTCTCAAAGAAAAACTAAAAGATAAACAACATAAAAAGTTAATAGTCTTCTACCCACGATAATGATGAAAACCTACCTGAAAATAGAAGAACGCTTGACCGAACCAGTAATGCATCACGGTGACCTCAGCTGCGTTGTGCCTCAGGGGCCGCCAGACGAACTGAGTCATGATGGTCTGGATGACGAGGCTCAGGGCTAAGACGGGAAGATTGTGAGGTCTGAGGAGCAGCGCCGCCAGCAGAACTAACCCGCTGTATATTTCCCAGAGGCCCACGGTCTTGACTGTGAAGTCATCAGCAGTGATCTGAGATTTAAGCAAGCCTTTGGTGCCCGTGAACAGAATGCCAAGGACAAAGACATAAACAAAACGAGCTTCGGTGATGCCCCTAAAGAAAGCAAAACAAGTCAGATTCATTAGCACCAGCTAGAAAAATTCAAACACACGTTTTCCCATGAAAACCACGTGTCTACTGAGCTGACAGTAGAAGCTTCAGGACCCACCCGCCGGGGGAGCTCTGTGGAAGTGAGGGCGTCTGCCCCTGCACATCAGCCTCCCAGGACGCCCCGCCCAGAGGCCGGCAGGCCTGTCCGCTCTGTGCTCACTTCTCTGATGGAGCCGGCTTACAGGAAAACTTGCTCCTGTGGCCCAAGGATCACCTAGGTGTAGGACCAGAGCCATTACTTGTAGCCAAAAGAACTGTCCACCTACTTTGCATAGTTAGTTTGAAAAACCACTGCAGTAGGATAAGGTCCAGCTCTGTCAGGAAATTCCGTAAGTTCATAAATGCTAAGACACAACCGAGCATGTTCACAACCAAGCAGATTTAAGTACGTGCTTGCATGTGTGTACAGACACACACACACAGTGGTGCGGTCCGGACTGCGGGTCTGGAGGAAGGTGGCGCCAGGTTAGTCTGGGCACTGCCACAGACGAGCTCTGCTGTTGGGGCAAGTTAATTACAACTTCTGATGCTCAGCTTCTTATTCATAAAATGAAGAGAAATGGTACCTACACCTCACAAGGCTGTCCTGACAATTAAACAAGAGAACGCACGTAAAGCGTTTGGCACACAGTAAATGTTAACTACTACTGTGGATTAAGTATTTTAGCACAGTCATCACCTGTAAAGGATACAGTTTATGGCACTATATATTCCTAAAACATATTTTAGATCAATTTCATAAATCAAACATTTTATATAGTACTAGAAAAGCTGATTATTTAAAGTGACGCTAAGTAAATAAAATTTTAAATGAAATGTTCACCTTAAGAATGTATCCGGGGACATCCTTGGTGGTGCAGTGGTTAAGAATCCACTTGCTAATGCAGGGGACACGGGTTCAAGCAAGTCCTGGTCCGGGAAGATCCCACATGCAGCAGAGTCACTAAGCCCGTGCGCCGCAACTACTGAGCCTGTGCTCTAGAGACCGTGAGCCACAACTACTTAAGTCCGCGTGCCTAGAGCCCGTGCTCCACAACAAGAGAAGCCACTGCAATGAGAAGCCCGCGCACCGCAACAAAGAGTGGCCCCTGCTCGCCTCAACTAGAGAAAGCTGCACACAGCAATGAAGACCCAATGCAGCCAAAATTAAATAAATAAATAAAATTAAAAAAAAAGAATGTATCTGTGTTGAAAACTGAATTTTCCTATATCAGATTTTCTTAGGAAAAGGTTTATACATTTTTAAAAAATAAACCTATTTATCTTATTTATTATTTATTTTTGGCTGCGTTGGGTCTTCGTTGCTGCATGCGGGGCTTCCTCTAGTCACAGTGATCGGGGGCTACTCTTCGTTGCCGTGCATGGGCTTCTCACTGCGGTGGCTTCTCTTGTTGCGGAGCACGGGCTCTAGGCGTGTGGGCTTCAGTAGTTGTGGCACGTGGGCTCAGTAGTTGTGGCTCGCGGGCTCTAGAGCACAGGCTCAGTAGTTGTGGCGCACGGGCTCAATTGCTCGGCGGCATGTGGGATCTTCCCGGACTGGGGATCAAACCTGTGTCCCCTGCACTGGCAGGTGGATTCTCAACCACTGCACCACCGGGGAAGCCCAGTTTCTGCGTTTTTAAAAAATGCTTTTTTTTTTTTTTTTTTAGGATGATCAGTTTAATTTAAAGAGTGGAGCACTATCTACTGGCAACACGGAGACACCAGAGGCTGATATAAGGCCCGCCATGGGGATCACCCTGGTGGAGGAGCTGGGGTCAGATGCAACCACAGCCAAGGTGTGTGCTAAGCTGAGTGCTGATGACGGACCCACAGGGTCAAAGAGGGGGAAATGAGCAAAGGTCCAAGTAATCAGAGAAGTTTCAAAGAAGAAAGGGGCTGGGTTCTGTATCAAGGAGGACTGACTGTGAACAGGAGGGAGAGCGCCACCGGATGCCTTTAATGGATCCACCTCTTGCCCTAACCAGTCAGCTGTGCCTGCACATCCAGAACCACTGAAAATTGGCTTTCTGCTCCAGCCAGGTCTGGGCTTCAGAGTGGAGAAGAAAGTCAAGAGTTAAATGTAGAGGATTCTAGAATACTGATGGACAGCAGCACCTGTGGGGATTGAAAGGAGAGAAGCAGCTTTCAGGCAGACCTAGAATTAGGGCAGCTTTAGAATTGGGGCAGATCTAGAACCAAGAGGGGTCTAGAATCAGGACAGATCGGGGTGGAGAATGGAAGCATTCTACGGGACGGATGTGAACCAAGCAGTGCAGGTTAATGAAAGGGTGCACTGGCCTATATTTTGGGCACCAACAAGGTACATGCTGTTCTATCCATGAAAGGTAAGGAAGTCATCGAAGTCTTGAAGTGAGTGATGCTGAAATCAGGTGTATCTGAGAGGAAAGAGGAATTTATTCATGTGTTGCACTTTGAGATTTAAACAAACACCCCTGGATTGGACGCCCTCACATGTGACATCCAGCCTTGACATCTGCCCAGAGTCTCAGACTTTGAAGCGAACAGTCTTTAAGATGTCTCCCCACCTGACCTCCCTGCCTCAGGTGAAGGCCTGCCACTCTGCCGTCACCTCAGCCAGGCCCTTGGCATCGCCTTGACGTCCCACACCAGTTGACAGGTCTTATTTCCAGGTGTGGCCCTTGTGCCCCTCAGCCACCCAAACAACCGGGCCATAGCCCTCAGAATTCACCTTGACACCTTTTTAGAGAGGATAACACTTGCTTTTCTTTCTCTGATTAGGAAAGCAATACCAAACATCTAGAGAAGAGTTAATACCTATCCTTCTCAAACTATTTCAAAAAATTACAGAGGAAGGAACGCTTCCAAACTCATACTATGAGGCCAGCATCACCCTGATACCAAAACCAGACAAAGATATTGCACACAGAAAAATTATAGGCCAATATCACTGATGAACACAGGTAACAAATCCTCAACAAAATATTAGCAAACCGAATTCAGCAAAACATTAAACGGATCACACACCATGATGAAGTAGGATTTATCCCAAGGATGCAAAGATGGTTCCATATCCACAAATCAATCAAAGTGATTCACAACATTAACAAACTGAAGAATGAAAACCATACGGTCGTCTCGATAGACGCAGAAAAAGCAGTTCACAAAATTCAACATCCAGTTATGATAAAAAGAAAAAACAACTCTCTAGAAAGTGGGTATAGAGGGAACATGCCTCAACATAATAAAGACCACATACGATAAGACCACAGCTAACATCATACTCAGTGGTGAAAAGATCTAGATCAAGAACAAGACAAGGATGCCCACTCTCACCACTTTTATTCAATATAGTATTGGAAGTCCTAGCCACAGCAATCAGATAAGAGAAAGAAATAAAAGACATCCAAATTGGAAAGGAAGAAATAAAACTGTCACTGTTTGCAGATGCCATGATACTATACATAGAAAATCCTAAAGACAATACCAAAAAACTACTAGAGCTCATCAATGAATTCAGTAAAGTTGCAGGGTACAAAATTAATAAACAGAAATCTGTTGCATTTCTATAACTAACAACAAACTATCATAAAGAGAAATTAAGAAAACAATCCCACTGACAAATGCATCAAAAGAATAAAATACCTAGAAAAAAATCTAACTAAGGAGGTAAAAGACCTGTATTTGGAAAACTATAAGACACTGATGAAATAAACTGAAGACAACACAAACTGACATAAAGATATCCCATGTTCTTGGATTGGAAGAATTAATACTGTTAAAATGTCCATACTATGCAAAGCAATCTACAGATTCAATGTAATCCCTATCAAAATACCAATGGTGTTTTTCACAGAACTAGAACAAAGAATTTTAAAATTTGTAGGGAAACACAAAAGACCCCAAATAGCCAAAACAATCTTGAGAAAGAAGAACAAAGATGGAGGTATCACATGCCCTAACTTTAAACCATACTACACAGCTACAGTAATCAAAACAGTATGGTAATGCACAAACACACACACACATAGATCAATGGAACAGAATAGAGAGCCCAGATGAACCTACACTTATATGGGCAATTAATCTACAACAAAGGAGGCAACAATATACAATGGGGGAAAGACAGCCTCTTCAATAAATGGTGTTGGGAAAACTACACAGCTACGTTTAAAAGAATCAAACTGGACAACTCTCTTACATCATGCACAAAAATAAATTCAAAATGGATTAAAGACTTAAATGTAAGACCTGAAACCATAACTCCGAGGCTTACCCACTACTGTTGGCCAACTACCTTGTTTTTTACTCTGTGCAACTGTAAAGTAATGCTTCAGAGAGCATGCCCGTATCCCAGTCTCTCGCCTCACCTCTGGTTGTATTTTTGAGATAAATTCTAGAAGAGGACACCCAAGTCAGAGGGTTGGACAAAGTCAAGGTTCTTAACACGTTTTACGAACAGTCCTCCAGAACAGGCTCTGCCCACCCCAGCCCACATCACCATTAAAAACAAAAAAGCTGCCACTTTGACATGTAAAAAGTGGTACTGACGATTCAATCACCATGAGCCCCCGCTCCAGGAACTCACATAAGTTATGGGAAAGTTTGGTTTTCTGGCATGCTTCACCCTCCAACTCCTAGGCAGCATCCACTCGTTATTATCCTCATTACTAGTTACTTCTTGGTGGAGCAAAACTGAATCCTTTAAATTCTTTATTTTTAAAGAATCCCTTACTAAAAAAAAATAAATAAATCTTAGTGACCTTACTTCCAGGTTATTCGTCTCTCTCCTATCAAAAAAAGAGGCTAACAAAATTGGTTCACTGAGGCATTGTCAGTAACCGTTGACAAAATCACAATTCACAAAGACCAAACTCCAATGTTCTCAAGATTGCATGGCATTTTTTAGTACATAAAACATTAGAACAGATCTAAAAACAAATGCTTGTGTCTGCCAGTACACTTACTTTGAAATGTCTTTGTTGTTTTGCTGCCATGGGAACAGCAGATTTCCAATGGCCACCCTGTAGCAATAGATGCCCAGCAGGCCAAACGCCATGGCCACTTTTGATGCCAGGGAGCACCTCTTCTGAACCAACACAAAAATCATGATGAGGGAAACTGCGGCCAGAACAGAGAGTTCAACCTTATGATCAGGGCTGAAATGAAATGTAAAATGCCAAAACTTACTACCAAGGATAACTAGTGATATTATGGATCTACACCAAGTGGCTTTCTAAGAACTGTAGTAAAAAGAGCTCATTTTCCTGAAAAGCAAAAAAGAAAATTTTTCGTTTTTTAAATTCAAACAGAGGTTCTTAAAGTGGAACAAATAAAGAGCCGTTAACCCAGTCTCTCATTGCTCATTCACAACTGGTAGCTACCATCAGCTCTGCACTGGCCAGGGCAGCGATATATTCAACACTGCCCGCTGGCTCCCCTGGTGCCCCCTTTCTGGGGCAGTCTCATTTTCCCCAACCACAGGTGAGGTTGTGTGCAAACTGCATATTTACCAGCGTGCGCCCACTCACAGGAGACGCACACATCCTGGCACTGTCCCCTTCCATTCACTCGTCAGCGCACACAGACTCACGCAGGAGCGTCTGCCCCCTCCCAGGCGGGGAGACCTGGTGAAGAGGCTGGGCACGTGGCTGTCACAGGCCCTCTCTCTGCCTGGCCCTTGCCCACCGCTCCCTGCCACCTCGGTGAGCTGAGCCCTGGGAAGGCAGGGCTCTTTCCCGTCCTAGTCACTGCAGCTCACACTCACAAAGCCCACGTGTTCACGAGCCGTTAAGCCAAGGCGTGTACATGCCACACGGAAAGACGAACTTGGGAAGATGCAGAGGAAAGGAGGCCAGTGTCAGGGCACGGGTCCCAGGAATGGCAGACGGTGATGGGGGCCACGCTGGGGCCTCTGTTGTTGCTCTGTAAGCTGCATGTTCCATGCAGATCCTGGATTGTTAATTGTCACAAATGGAAAATGGAGCATAGAGATGGTGATTGGGCGTCTCTCAAAGGCTCTGCCCTGGAGGAGGAATCACCGAAACTGCAGCCTCTTTACAAACTGACAGGGAGAATCGTGCTGCAGGAAGGGAGCGCCCTTGATGGAACGGGGTGGGGGTCCAGTGTGCTGGAGGAGGGTCTAGACCCAGGAGTGGGCACAGCTGCACCCTGGAGAGTGGGCCAGGGGTGGTGGTGGCATCCCTGCACGCCATGTTAGTGCATCTGTGGGTGGAAATCAGCAGATCTTCCCGCAGTGCTGCAGCTTCCCAGGAAAATAAGAAGTGAGGTCGTTGTGCTGCCCCAGCACGCTCTCATCCTCACGTGCTCTGGCTCCGCCTGGTGCTGCCTCGGCTCCCCTCTGCTTTCACACCCCAAGCACAGACAGGCCAGCGCCCTCTCTTCAGGGTTGCTGTGAAAATGAAATGAGTGGGCACACAGCAGGAACCTGAAAAACGCTACCTGTGATTACTATGGTTGCCGAAGGTTTGCTAGTATTGTTAACACTTGGGAGAAATTTATCATGAGGATTATTTGGCCAGAGGAATAAACAATCTTATGGCCTTTGATGTATAATTCCAGGTATCTTCCAAAAGGACTGTGCCAGTGTGTGGCCCCAGGACTCCCCGGTGCTTGCCAAGCCTGGGTTTTTGTCCCCTCCCTCATCACGTATAAAACCGCACATTCTTATCTAACTGAAGTTCCCGAATCACGAGCAGGAGTGAGCACTTCCTGTTCTCTCCTTTGGCACTTCCTCCTTTAGGAACGTGTCTACGACCTTCCTGAGTCCTGCTTCCTGCTGACAATTCTTACAGAAGCTCCTCCCAGCGATCCGACAGTGACCCTTGTCACTCTTGGAAACACTTTTTCATTTCACTGTTCCCATACTTTAGTTTTCTAAGCCTTCACTGACAGAGAGTAAAACTTATGATATAACCAAATGTTGGTCTTTTCTGTCCTAGTTTCTTCTCTGTACTTCAATCCTCTGTATCTGCTATACTTTCTACTACATTTCCCAGCCACCCGTGAGAGGCCTCAGAGGAGGCTGAAGGCTCACCTACAGGCTCCAATCAACGCAGCTGCCCTTCCTGGGGGCGGGAAGAGAGGAAGGAGGACAGAGAAGGGCAGAAGCACAGAAGGCAAAGCCACTCTCCCAAGGGCTCCTGGGCACAGGCCCTGCCAGCCTGTCACCCCAGCCTCGCACCATCGGGGACAGGGCAGCGAGTGACAAACGACATCCTGCTGCAGTGATCATTTTCAAATTCACAGGTTCGCAAGCATGAACACTTACAGGGATTCAGCGATAAAAAACCAAACTATCAAGCTAGCCTCAAATAAATTCACCTCTCAATGTCAAATCATGGGTTAGTTTTCTATTTCTTCAGATCTCAAATACCATTTCTATCCTGAATATGAAAAACAGGCCTATGGAGGGTCTGGCCCGAGGCCACAGCTTTTGCCCTCACCTGGTGAGCCAGTGCCCCAGGTCAGGCCGGTGGGCCCACTGCACACCCGTCTGGTTCAGTGACCGAAGCAGCCGGCAGCAGGTCAGAATCAGCCACGGGCTCGCCAGCACCATCCACCTATCAGGGCCTCTGAGCGCTCCCAGGGGAGAGGGGCGCCTGGACGCTCTGTCGAGCTCCCACACGTCAGGGCCAGGGCTCTTGCCCTGTGGGGCCGCTGCGACCCCGTCAAAGTCCTCTCCCGCGTGCGGGCAACGCTGAGGCGCACAGTCGTCTCCCAGAAAGCAGTTTCTGTAGATTTCGTGGCACAGAGCTAGACACAGCGTGTTGACGAGGAAGTACCACGTCTGGGGCTCCTCTTCGATGAAGCTGCTTGCGCCCAGACTCAACGTGTGGCCCACGGTCCCCAGCAAGATGAGAAGATCTAATTCCGACGACCTTGAGTTGCATTGAGGTGGATTCTGTAAAAAGGAAAATGTATTTTATAAGGGAAAAATCTGAACAGCACATCATCTTCTCGCTGCCCGAGCTTACAGCTTTCGCTCACAGAACCTAACCTGCCGTGACAGACACCTGCTGCCCCTCACGCCCGGCACCCACTACTGCCCGTGCCCCCGAGCACCGCCAGGAGGACGTGGAAACAGCAGGGCGGTCCTCCCCGGACTGCAAGTCCTAAGCTGAGTGACAAGGAGACTGAAGCTGTCTGGACCCAAGCAGTCTCGGCAGTGCCGGAGCTTGCAGCGCTGCCCACCAGTCCCAGGCCGGACCCTCCTTGCAGCCTGTCCTTGCCCTCTGAGCCACTGCCTGCCACTGGAAACCAAAGAGCTCCAAGGGTATATTCCACCGAACACCTAAGTTCTCCAAGAACCTTCCAGAAATCCAGAGAGTCTCCACTACAGCGGTTGGCATCACAGTACTAGCCCTTAAATACACTAATTTAAAGCATTTAAAGTAAAGTGAGGACTCCATGGCCGTCATTCAGTACTACTCGATATTTGTTCTACTAAGTGCGTGCAGCTAGTACATGACAGAGCTTGATACTGTGAGCCTGGTCAGGCCCTGGAGACTGAGACTGCTCTAGGGAAGCCCATGCTCCAGCGGGGAGACATGTGTGTGGTAAACGACACCACACAGGTTGGGGGGGGGGGCGTCTGTGGCCCTGTGACGAGGCACTGCACTGGGGACCAACTGGGACTGCCCACCTCTCTCTCAGCACCCTGCCACCACAAGGTGGCAGAACGAAGGTGTCAGAGGCCGAAGGCCGCAAGGATTCTAAAGGAGAATCAGTCTAGAAGAGGAAACTGCATTTTATGAGGCAGGATGAGGGCGGGGTCAGCCAGCTGCCTGTCCCTCTGTGCCAGCCGCTCTGGACAGTCCCCTGGTTACAGCCCCAGGGACCATGTCTTTCTAACTGAGAAGGAAGGCATGAGACCTCATAGCACAGGTCTGAGCGTGTCAATTCGGGATGCCCAGGGACCCGGGAGACCAGCCACTGTGAGCACGTCCTGTCGGCTCCCATGAAGGGTGGGCCCTTTCCTCGGCCCCCATCAGCACCATGCCTGGTACGCACCAGGGGCTTAACCCGTGTCTCATCAGCTGGAGTAACAAGAACAGCCTATCTGGAAAGCCGGCCTTACCTTACTCAGACGCTTTCCGCCGGCAAACATCCCGGTGAGAGCAGACAGCACTGCGCAGAGCAGTGTGGAAACCAGCACCATCACTCCGCCTGCCGTCAGCCACGGGAGGCTGCACAGGTAGCACGTTCCGCCTGCGGAGGTGCACACGGTGACGTGGAGCGCTGCGAGGCCCAGGGGCAGCAGGTAACAGAGCAGAGAGAACGCGGGCGACGGCAGAGGGACGTCCAGCTCGGCCTTGCCGCTCAGTGCCCGGGGGCCGCTGACCAGAAGCAGCGCGAGGACCTGCAACAGGAAGCAGCGGTGGCGTCCGCGACTCCACCACGCAGGGGGCTCTCCCTTCGATTTTCTAAAAACTTTCTACGTCCTTTAAACTACCCAATCCCGGCCGAGCTAGCTGCCCAGTTTAACAGCGGAGCCGCGACACTGCACAGGCAGCCATACCTCCAGGACCAGGACGGTCCCCACCGCCATGGAGTAGACGTCATACTGGGCTGCTTGTCTGCTCAGGGACAGGCTCAGGGCCCTCAGCGCGTCCAAGTACTGCCTGCGAACCTTGCTTCCCAGGTTGGAAAGGACTTCTGAGCTATTCTCCTCCAAGTACAGTCTGACCCAGTTCCCGTGCAACCTTTCCGACACTTTAAACTGCTCAAACCCAGGCTCTGCCGAGAAGAAAAGGCAACACACACACATCACCAACATGCACGCACATGTGTAATTGTAATCTCAGAGTGCTCAGTTATTCACGGCACATGGCAGAGCCTGACACCTAACCAAGATGAACTCCGGGGGTGGTGGTGGCCGCCAACACCTCCGGTAAAACCCCAACAGCGGATGAAGCCAGCCTGTCCTCTGCCGTCCCTCCTGCCCGCCAGCCCTCCGTGCACGCCACGGACAGCAGCCTCTGCGCGCCGCTCGGCCCCGCCTTCTCCGCCTCCCGCTTGCCGCCTCCTCCCCCTTCTCTCTCTCCACTCTTCTTCCTCAAGGTGCAGTATAAAACGTCCCAGGAATGCACTGCATGAGAGCCCTCAGTTCTACAAAATCCTTCCGACCCTCACGCTCTTGGTGAGGACGGGGCAGGCAGGGGCCTGACACCCGCTCCACCGTGTGCCCCTCCCCGAGGCAGGCCGGCCCCTCCTGCCTCTCACCGCCAGCGCCCCTCTTTCACCTGCTTCCCTTCTTCACCAGTCTTCTTTGGGAAGGGATGGCAGTCTCCCAGCCCTCCTACCACAACGCTGAGCTATGTCTCCCATGCACTACACCGGCTGAATGATCCACGGCCGACATAAAGCCAGGGCTGCGTGATGGCTCGTGGATGGAGCCCAGCCCCGGCTGCAGCTGGCTCCCCACTGGGGATGACAGTGGCGTGCCGCCCAAGGCCAGGGGGCTTGCCTTCCTTCCTTTCAGGGCTGGACCAGACTCAACTGTAACTCGGCTGGTCGGCAGAGCAAGAACTTCTCTCCCGAGACTCCCTGGTACCTAACATGCTCTTTCAACTTCAAGCAGAGCTGTTCCAAGGTGGTCTGGGCCATGCCTTTCAGGGGCTTTGGCCCAGCCCACCAGCAGTGCCCCCACCCTGCCTTCCCTGATCATAGCCCGGCGTCCTCACGGCACAACCCCTGAGCATGGGCCCCGATGCCTGCAGCCCCACCACTGCTGCTGGAGCCAGCTGACCTGTACCAAGTGCTGGTGGCAGGCACGACCCTAAGCCCTCACTCAGGTCCTCTCCCAGTGACCTATGGGACTGGAAAGGTTTGACGCCCATTTCAGAGAGGAGGCAACCCAGACACCTGCTCATGGGCAGGCAGGTGAGAGCTGGGGTCTAAGTCTGGATCCAAGCTGGTACCCGTACTTGCTACATTCCACCACCCCAAAGTCAAAGACACGGGGGCACCTGTGTCTGCACCCCACCGCCTAGAGTCCCAGAGACACGGGGGGCACCTGTGCATGCGTCCAAACAAAAATGGGCTGAACACTGACTACATGCTAGATGCGTCAGGATAGGTCCTGACAATGTGGGTCTGTGATCCAGCAGGGTTGTCACACATGCATGAAACTACAAATAGTGAAAAATACTACGGAGGGAAAATATACTATAGACGGAATAGTGAGAGACCCTTGGTAACGGAAAGGGAACTGACTTAAGAATGGGGTTGAGTGTGGGGGACAAGGGAGGTCTGACAGTGAAGCTAAAATGTAAAGGATGCCCAGGAATTAACCTGTGGAACAGGTAGAACAGCATCCAATCAGTAGGAAGAGCACACGCAAAGGTCCAAAGGTGATAACAGCCCCCACTACGACCAAAAAGTGGTCAGACGAGCGAGTTGCATCAGACTGGGGTGGATATCATGGCAGGCCTTGACATCCTGGATGGGGGTGTGAAGCCCTGGGGGTGCTTTCTCGTTCTGGGGACTGGCCTCTGTTCATTTCACAGGCTCATTATGGCCACAGCCACTGCAGTGCTCAATCCTCCCTACCCTGCTATCCCTGAGATAAGCAAACGACCCCACCGTTTTCTGGTTTTCATTTTTATTAGTTGTTAGTATAGGAGAAAGGACACACACTACCAACAACAACAGATTTGCAAAAGCTACCAAATTCATACGTTATTTGCCTCTGGTCTGCACTGAAACGTGCACGGTGGTCGGGCCTCATCTTTGACAGAGCTGCTGGCCGGGCTGTCTCACGATCTAAGAGCTTGTGCTCCCCATGCCCTGGACATCTGGCTCCCAACCACTCCCCGATGGCAGGGTGTGTCTTCCACAACCAACTCAAGGTCAGTTTACATCTCCCCACAAACTCACAGGCGTTCACTCCACTGGGCAGTACCCCACCACTTCAAGTAGGCAGACCTGCCAACATCCCATCAAATGTTGCCTCAAACTGGGAGGTGACCTCCTCTGCACTTCCCAGCGAGCCCCAGCCCCAGCATCAAACATTAGCCTTGACGTCCCTGGATGGGTCAAAGTAAACTGATTGAAAGTATGGTCCTGGGGAGCTGTCCTACCAAGATATAAACACCCTCAAAAAAAAAAAAAAAAAAAAAAGAGATATAAACACCCTCTAGTTTCTCGCAGTCCTTAAAACTAAGGACACACCCCGCTCGGGGCCCATCCACCTCGGATGCCAGACCGTTGCCCTGTTCCTGGTCCTCACCTGCACCCACGCCAGCCAGGCTGTCTCCATGTGAACCGCTCTGTCAGCAAAGTTGCTGAGACCTCACCTGCCGTATGAGCGGACGGTTCTCAGTTCCTCATTTTATTTTTGGTCACGCCGCGTGGCTTGCGGGATCTTAGCTCCCGGACCAGGGATCGAACCCATGCCCCTTGCAGTGGAGGTGTGGAGTTTTAACCACTGGACCGCCAGGGAAGTCCCCTCAATTCCTCATTTTATTTTACCTCGAACCCCATTCAACACATCTGCTCACTCTCTCCTTCTTGAAATTCTTTCTTTACTGGCTTCGTGGACACTGACCCCGCCCCAGCCCCCCAGCACACACACAAGCACCCTGCCTTGCAAGCCCGCTCTTCCCACAGCCTTCCCCACCTCAGTGATGCTCACTGCATCCTTTCACTGTTCAGCTGCAAACCCCAAGTTGTTCCTTATGTCGCTGGATTGCTTCACCTCACATCCAGTGCATCAGCCAATCCTACCTTCAGACCAGATCCAGAACCAACCATTTGTCCCGGATCCCACTGCCTGGGCCCTCGCTCCCTCCCCTTGCACTGAAGTAGCACACCAGCCTCCTGGCTCTGCTGCAGTACAACACAGCCCTCCACACGCGCACCTGAGAGAGCCTCTGAAAATGCAAGTGGAAGGTTTCAGCTCTGCACAACACCTGCAGGAGCTCCCCACTTACTCAGAATGGAAGTGAGAACCCCTTCAATGTCCAAAAGGCCCTCAGCCCTCAGCCCTCATCTCCTTCTGCCTTCTGCCAGTTCCAGCCGCTCGGGTCCCTGGTCACTCCTTGACTGTGCAGGCACATCCCCACCACAGGACTCTGCGTCTGCCACAAGGCTCCCTCCCAGGCCAACCTGCCCCAGTGGCCCTCAGCCACCTGCATCCCCACCCTTCCCTGGTTGAGCCTTTCCCTAAGGCGCCTATCACTATCTGACATCTGTCCTTGCCCCCCCCCCCCCCCCCCCGCCGCCCCGCTCTGGATGATAAGCTCCACGAGGGCAGAGCTCTCCTCCTGCTGTGTCTCTAGTCCTTCCCGCAGCCCCTGGCCAAACAGGAACTTAGTGAAAAAAATCCAGCACTTGCTGAGTAAGTAAATTTATGAAAGATTTTGACTTACATGGTTGCATCTGTGGGTGTTGCTAATGGTGACAGTCAGGGTTCTAATGAAAAGGAACACACAGTCAAAGACTGCTGTAGTGCACACCACGGGGACATCAGGAAGACATCAGGCGCAATGGAGACACACACACACAGCACAACAGATGTTAGCAGCTACTAACCGGCTTACCTTTTTTATATGATGGAACATTCTCCTGCAACAACTTGCTAAGCTGTACTGTATTTAAATGTAAAAATCTCAGTTGTTCCCTCATTGGCTTTCCTTCTACAACTGGGAATATAAGATTGCCGATGCTGCTCTTTGGAATCGGCAGACCAAGCCCTATTGACAGTGTTGCAGCCAAATCAGTCTGTTGAATATACTTTGGACGTCTGACGTCACCTAGAAAAAAGAAAACAGCTTAAATGACAGGCTCTAGGACACGTATGATGGCGGTCACTCCTCAATTTGACCTTCTACAAGTAACGTAAGTCAAACCACCCATCTCTTCAAACCGTCCTGTGTAGATTCAGACGGAAACCACATCGTTGTTTTTCACGTCAGTAAAAACACTGAATCCTCATTTTTTGCGGAGCCTGGTGCCTCCCTAAAAAGCAGCACACAATACGCGGGAGAGGCACTAACGCAGGAAACTCAACACCGCGCGCATTTCACAGCGTGGGGTGGATGCCGAGGGATGTTCACTTTGGTGAGGTCAACGGTCACCCTGCTGAACGAGGGTGAGGGTGGATCTCTGGCGGCCCTGCCCCGCTGCAGTCGGAGCAGTCCACGCAGCCCCACAGGGAAGCTGAGGCAGACTTCTCCACGCACCCTGAGCAGCAGCAGGTGCCTCTACTGGGGAGGGCAGAACAAGGCTGGGTCCAGCCGGGCCAAGTTCCATAACCAACTCTGACAAGCGAGACACCGCCTACCAACAAGTCCAAGGCCCAGCAGTGGCTGGCCAGCCTCCGAATTCCTGCCAGGAGAACGGGTGTGACGTCAGGACACTGGGCTCAGGCTCCTGCTGTGCCACCATCCAGTGGGAGGCTTTGGACAAGAAACTCAGAATTTTGTCATCTGTAAAGAGAGCATCTGGCCCACAGACCTCAGGAGCTACAGTGCAGGTCTTGGGGGCTGGGGGGTCACCAGGAGAGTCTACCCGGGACAGGCAGTGCCAGTGCAAGTCTCTTAGACACTCTAGTGTGAGTTTATAAAGGTTTTACTTTGATTGTGGCAATTTCTGGTTGTATACAATTTTTCTTTTTAATTTGGTGAGATGTATTAACCTTTTCTTGACCAACCATTTACTGATGGCTTCTGGGTTCACTCAGAAGAACATTTCCACCCAACATTATTATTTGTTTTCTTCTAGAATTTTCTTACATTAGGTGCTTTGATCTGAAACAAAACAAAACCCAAAACAAAAACCCCACCTTAAACTGCTTTTGCTCTGATATTAGTGATGGTGCTGGTCTTGTGCTGAGACTACTGAGGGCCTCACGCGATACTCTGTCAGATCCGAGGGTACCGACAACCGGGATTCTAAGCTCGGGAGGAAGACAGCACGGGTGAAAGATCTCAGGAGGTAATTTTACAGCCGTGAAGTGAAGGGCAAGTTATCAATACGAACTCAAGATCAATTTTATTTTAAAGAGATTTCCTCACTTTGTACAGAAATGAGTGAGCCAGTATGCATGAGCACTGCTAGCTGTGAGACGGGTTCTCGAAGACCCCCTTCCACTGAAAGGAACCAGGGCACCGTGGAGGAGCAGCTGTTTTCAGGTCCAGAGAAGGGCTTGTGCACAAGCGGCTGGGACACCTGCTCGGACCAGGCAGCGACAGAGCCCTCAGAGATACGAAGGCCTCTGGGACTGTAAGGTCAGAAGGATTCAGGAGGCCATCTGAAGATGCTCCCAGTTCCCAAAGATGGGACAAATGGAATATTAGATAATATTAAATAGTATCTATAGTGAATTGAAACAAATAAGCTTAAATCCATGAGTTCAAAATGTCCCAAAAATAAAAATAAAAACTAATTGGTCATAGTTGAAGCATGCTAGTGAACTCATAGTGAACTAATTCACTGATTTGAAACTGGGAATTAATTGGGAAGAATAAGCCATCAGTGACCTCCTCTCTCTTATATAAATGGTAATGCTGGGTAACCAAAAAGTAGATGGGGGAAGATTCTCTTTACTGAATTATTTTGGCTAATTAGTGAAAAAAAAAAAAAAGGACTTACAGAATTAAAACATCACTATTTGTAACCTCTAGTGAATTAGTGGCCCTAGGTGGTCATCAGTGGCTACTGACATCACCACACAGCAGACAAGTCGGACACTCTGTGCCTCCTGCTAGCAAGAGTCTGGTCCAAACCAACCAAACCAACAGGATCTGAATCTGCTCATGACTCCAAGTCAGGTGGGATTTACCGGATGAGCAAAGGACATGTTAGCAGACAATGCAGAGAGAGACTCCACAGGACAACTGACCAGGTTCTTCAACAGATAATCATAATAAAAGAGGATAGGGATGGAGACCTATAAATTAAAAGAGACTTAGAGACGTATCAACAAGAACTGACATTACTTTAAAAAGAATGTGGGGAATTCAAGCCTAAGGATGCTCTTGAAAACTATGAAGGTTTTGGAGGTAAGCAACTAAGAGGAAGCCGGCAGCTTCATGAGAGCAACAGGTTAAACCACAGGCCAGCTGGAAGTTTACCAGAGGGTATCAGGGAGAAAAGACAGCTAAGAAGGGCTCCCCTGGCATCAGAAGAGACTCAAAGACTGGCCTCGAAATGACTTCTGCAAAGTGGCCCAAATAGGATGAGACCAGACTGCAAAGCACACTGATTATAAATTGTCGAAAACGAGACAGCAATCATCCTGCAATGAGGGGAGCCCACAGCTGGGTGGGTGTGGCAGCAAGAGACAACAACTTAGAGCCGCCACAGAAAGTGGCCGTCACAGAGCTCCGCTGGCTCCCAGGGCGCGGTGCCCTCACAGGAACGACAGCAGACTTTACACGTGGGGGTCAAGGCTTCCCTGGAGCAGTCCAGCCAATCAACAAACCAACACGCAAATAATGACGACAGGCCCTTGGAGGAGACGGGAGCAGTAGCTAGAGTTACTGCAATATAGTATTTAATGTTCAGTTTTCATCAAAAACTCCAAGCAATTATGCCAAGAAACAGGAAAGTACAATTCAAAGAGAAAAAAAAGCAGGCAACAGAATCTTCCTGGGAAGGGCCCAGATGTCAGAGTTAACAGACAAAGTCTTCCAAGCAGTCATCGTAAATGTGTTCAAAGGACTAAAGGAAACTACGCGTAAAGAAGTAAAGGAAGGTGTGATGGCAGTGTGCCATCCAATAGAGATTATCAACAGAGGGGCAGGAATTATAAAAAAGAACCAGATGGAAACTCTGAAGTTGAGAAAAATAATAACTAAAATGAAATATTCACTGTAAAGGCTCAACAGGAGATTTTCAACTGGCAGAAGAATCAGCAAATTTAAAGACAGACTGATAAAAATTATGCAACCTGAGAAACAGACAAAAAATCTTCCAAATTTGATGGGAAACATCGAATCGACACATCCAAGAAGCTCAATGAACTCCAAGTTGGACAAACACAAACTAACGGACATAATAAAAATGTTGAAAGACAAGGAGGGAAAGAAGGGAACCTAATTAGATTAATGGTTGATCTCTCATCAGAAACCACAGAGGCCAGAAGGCAGTAGGACAGCACATGCAAAGAGCTGAAAGAAAAAGACCAGTCAACCAAGAATCCTACATCCAGCAAAACGACCTTTCAAAAAGTCAAGGTGAAATGAAGACATCCACAGACTAAAAAAGCAAAAACGACAGTTCATCGCTAGCAAGCCTGCCTTACGAGAAACCCTGCAGGAAGCTCTTCAGGCTGAAAGCTAGTGACTCCAGATGGTAATCTGGATCCAGTTTAAAAAAAAAAAAAGCAAAGAGTACCAGAAATTGTAATATAGTTATAAAAGACAGCATAAATACATTTTTTTCTCTTAAATTTCAAAGCAATTATATAGAACCATATATATGTATATATAAAACCATACGTGTGTGTGTGTATATATATATATATATATATGTTGTCAGCCTACAACATATAGAAATGGAATGTATCTGACAACAACAGCACAGGTGAAGAGAAGCGAAGCTGTACTAGAGAAAGAAAATGACACCATAAGAAAATACATGTCCACACAGAAACTTGTTCATAAATGTTATCTACAGCATCATTCATAATAGCCAAAAAGTAGCAACAACCCATCACCTGATGGACGGATGGATGGACAAATGTGGTACATCTGTACAATGGAATATTATTCAGCAACAGAAAGGAATGAGGTCCTGACACCTGCTACAATGTGGATGAACCTTGAAAACATTACCCTAGTGAAAGAAGTTGGTCACACAGACCATTTATTACATGGTCCATTTATTAAAAGACCATTTAGACACTACATTTATTACATGGAATGCCCAGAAGAGGCAACTCTGTAGAGACAGGTAGATGAGTGATTGCCGGTGGCTGGGGTGGGTGTGTTACTGGGTTGGGGGAAGTGGGGGTGACCACTAAAGAGGTGATATGTCCCAAAATTGACAATGACGATGGCTAACCAGCTCTGAATGAACTAAAAGGCTCAAAAAATAAGCGTGATGACAAGACAATATAACTACCCTTAAAGCAAACAAACAAGTAAACAAAATAAGAAAGACCTCAAGACTCACTGTTGGCACTGAGGTCAGCCGCATGAGCAGCCCATGCAGGCAGTTCCTATGCACAGCCGCCCTGGCCCTTCCTATCTGAAGATGTGTCAGGCCTCCCAGGGAGGAGATCCTTAAATACCCATCTGAGCAATGAAACATCAGCACTTTAGTTAAAAATAACCCTAACATTCCTGTAATAAAAGCACGCCAGCTTAGTTGTCTCTTCTCCCCCCAGACTATAAGCTCCCTGTCTGTAGCGCCAGCACAGCGCCTAGCCTACCGTGGGCGCTCAGTACCCCTCTGCTGCATGGGTGGACAGATGGATGTGTTTCTGGCCTGGGGCTCTCACTGAGGTAGAGGAGCCCCACGGGACCCTGCTTTGGGCGTGCAGAGCGAGAAAGTCGGGTGTATGGAGGCCAGTGCTCTGATGGGCACTGCGTGCACTCACTGGAAGGCAGGCTCCAGCTGGGCACCCAGGAAAGGCTCAGGTTACAAGAGCCAAAAACTTATACCTTAGGAGGTCAGATACCCAAGAGGCAGTGCTGTAAAAAGACAAAAGGAAACAGGTGGAGCTTCCTCCCCAACCAATCCCTACTCAGGTGGAAGACTCATTCACTCCATAAATGTTTTCAGCGTCCGCCAAATGCCAGGCAATGTTGAGACCCAAGGCACACAGTGGTGAATGGAACAGACTCTGCTCCGCCCAAGCGCAGCGCACAGCAAGGAGAGAGATGGACGCAGCCACACGATTCAGGCTGTGATTACAAACCACGCGAAGGATGACGGCAGAATACACGAGCACTGTGAGACGACCGGAAGGAAGGTGGTTTGGATTTTTGGCTGAGACCAAGGACGAGCGTATGAGCAGGCTGAGGGGCTGAGGAGCACGGGGTCAGGCGCGTGAGGAAGTTATCACTTGGAGGACCTGCGGGAGAGGTCAGGATTCAGCGAGTAGTGAAGGATGTGCCTCAAGACAAAGCCGTGAGGGAGGCGAGAAGTCTCACGCGGGAGTTTTACTGTATCCGAGGTTCAGCTACTGAAAGGTGGCACGTGTGGGCGCTGGGAGCCGGGCGGTTGGGCTCACGCGAGGAGCAGGGAGAGGGCAGATCGAGGTGGATGCCCACGTTTCCAACTTGAAGAGCCGCGTGAATGGCGCCATCTGTTGACGGGGAAACAGGGAGGGCAGATTGCAGGTGAAGTCACGTTTGCTCTGCCTGTGGAAGATCCAGGCGGAGGCATCAGCAGGCAGTGGCGTAGACAGTCTGGAGGCTGGAAAAGGGGAGACAGCTGGAGGGATAAATCTGACACGTGTGAGCCTATTCAAGGCATTTAAAACCACGGGAGTGGATGAGATCACCTCAGGAGTGAACGCAGAATGAAACAAAGGCAGTCCAGAAAAAAGGCCAGGGCAAGGAGGCTAAGCCAGCAAAGAAGACTGGACAGCAGAGGGAGAGGTAGAGGGAGACCAGAAACGTGGAGGTCCCAGGACTAGGGGTCAGCACTGCCGAGCGGTGCTGAAGGGTCACCCGAGAGAAGCCAGAGCGTCCAGTGTGGAAACAGCTGGTGAGCTGGCTGCCTGCGTGTGACGACGTGAGGGGGCGGAGGCTGTGCACAGGTCTGTGCTGGTCGAGGGCACCGGCGTGTCTGGGTTGGAGAGCTGCGCTGTGTCTGAGCGCTGAACGTGGGCCCTCAGTCCTACTCAGTCCTGCTCCTGTGGTTCTCGCTGACGTTGCTGTTCAACATATAGTCTCAGATAACGGATACTGCTTCTTAACTTTAAATTTTTATGTTTCTCTCAATTCATACATGCACTTCAGATGTCTCTAAGCCACTGGCACTTTTTACTAACAGTTCCAGATATCGAGGCAGTGACATTCATAGCACACAATTCCCAAAAAGAACATTTGTATTTTAAGAATCGGCAAGAAACGTAAACTCCAAATCCTGACTGGCCCTTGTCCCATTATTTTTCATTCTCACATTGTTCAGGGTTTTTTTTTCAAACTTACACAGCTTCCAAAAATGGTTAAATGGTTTTTAAAATTAAAATCAAACTACAGAAAGCAAAGAAATAAAGTACAGTTTTAAAGTGTTAAACATTCCCGAATTCTCACCAGGTTTCCTTTCAAATGCAGAGCTGATTAAGATCATAGCGGTGTTTACTTCCTCCACAGAAGAGGCTCCGTGACCCCCAGCTTCAGACATGCCATGATCACCACAAAGAACCAGCAGATTGGGTAACAGAGTCTCTCTCTCCTATAAGGTAAAGGAAATACATTTCAGCTGAACCCAGCCTGGGGAGAAGATCATGTGTTCTCAGATTTCAGCTTTACTTTGTAAATAGTAGCTTTTCCTAAATTTTTCTTTTCTTTTCTTTTTAACCTATGAGCTTATAGTCAGATCGAAGGGTCAACGTCGAGTAATGTCATAAATAAAACAAACGGAATCACATGGAGGTCACGGAGCACAGGAGGGTTGTGTTAGGCCTCAGGGCAGAGAATCAGGGTTTGGTTTCTGTCTTTGCCGTTTCCAAGCTATGGGCGCCTGGGCACATTGCTCTTCATGCCCTAGTCTCCTTATCTGTCAAACAGAGCTGCCCCTGGCCCCTGGGGCTCTGGCCAGTGGCTTTTGCTGCCCCTGCATGTACCTGACAGGCTCTGACTTGCCCTTGCTGCTTTTGCACCTGGAATACACCTTCACAGATGGCGCGGCGGCACCCCTGCCCTTCAAGTCTTGGCTCACGTCTCCCACGTCCTTAAGGACAACTGCTCTGACCACGCAGTTTAAAATTACAGCCTTTCTCTCAGATGTTGTGCCCTCCTCCTGCCCTACGTTCTGCTATGGCACCGATCACTGTCTAGAATACTTATGTACTCATTGATTATGCTTCCTGTGCTTCCCTCCTGGCTAGAGATTAAGCTCCACAAATGCCCAGACAGGAACAGCGACAGAGAAGGCCTCCAGGAAACATGAGCTGGATGAACAGGTAGAGACATTAAGAGCCGCTATTCTGCAGGGCTGCTGGGTACGGTGCCCGGCACACGGCACGTGCTCTGTAGGTGAAGGCTGCTTGAGTGATGGTAGGTATGAAGCTCACACAAGGTCACCCCAGTTCACTTTAGAAGCTACATTTCTTCTAGGAAACATTGGCACCTTGACATTCTAGGCCCACCTCTGAGAGCAGCGAGGTGTGGATCTTCATCAGGACGCTGTCCATCTCACTGAGCTTGCGCCCGATCAGCGGGCTGTTGGGCCCAGAAATGTGGCCGATGTGGTCCAGCCCAAGGTAGTGGAGGATTAACACATCCCAATCACGCCTTTTTAATACTTTATCCAAATGTCTTGTAACATTATCATCCACCTTTAAAGGGAAAAAGAGTACATATGAATAGCCTCCCTGATTTCCCTGGTGTTCACTCTTCAAGGAAAAGTGATATGGTCATTTTAAAATCTATGGGCTTATTTTAGGTACTAGGACTCATGGGAGTTTGAAAAGACCAAAACCAAAACCAAAACACCAAACAAAGCAGCCCCCAAAATAAAAACTGTCTTAAAAAATGTTTGCATTAGATTAAGCTTTCACTAATATTGTTTTTATGTCTCTAAGTTATGGACATATTATAGACATATTATAGTTATAGAACATATTATAACTTAAACAAACAAAGGCTGTTCTCACAAAACAATTCTTCAGGATCACTACTGGAGCTTAAACTAAAGCTGACCAGATAACCAAGTTAAATGGGTGCCAGGCTGTTACGAGGCAAGTGAGGGCTAAGGGCAGTTAGTTAAGGCAGGACAGTGCCCAGAGTTCAAGAAACCAGCGGGGTGAAGCTGGGGACGTCTGCCTGTGTCCTACGAGAAGGCTGTTTGGGGAAGAAAGAGGCACACACTCAGCGGTTCCCAGCCACACAGCCCCTGACAGAGCCACTAGCCAGGTCAGCCCTGACCCCTCCCTCCGCCTGGAGAATCTACTACAAAGACAAGTGCTTCTGAGCCGTCACACACAGCGTGGTCAGCGACTGCTGTGTCTATGCGGTCAGTTTTGGCAAAGGGTGTCGGTGTAACAGGACGGCAGGCGCTCCCCCGGGCCAAGCACACGGGTCCATCCAACTCCAGCTCAGACGGTGCCTTTGCCCTGCGGGCCTCCCTCTGCCCCAGGGCCAACACGGGGCGGGGTGGGGTGGGGTCTAACCTCCTTGGAGGCTGCACACGCAGCACAGGGCCGATGCTCTCCGCAGCAGGTAGGCTCGCCCAGCTCATGTCTGCCCTCATGCTGCCGCCCTCGCAGGAGAGCAGCAGCAAGGCAGGATCCCAGGCAGACCGTGGGGACCTCAGGCTCTGACTCGCAGACTCTGCCACCCCATCCTGTCCACTTGCGAAGGCCCCACTCACCTGTCAAAACTCTGGCTGAGCGGCTCCTCCTGGGAAGCCCTTCCCGACCCCTGGTACCCGTCAGTGGGTGCTCACCCGGTCTGGGCTTTAGGCTCAGAGAACTATGCTCACACTTGCATTAGGGTTTATGGTCCTGGCTT